CTCACCATCGGGGGTTGGGGGGTGGGGGTGGGGAGACAGAGTGGGCAGGGCCAGAAACGACCTGGAGTGGCTATAATGGGGCAATAAAAAATCAGCAGTGGTGGGCCAGCAGCTGACAGCAGCAGTGCCCGGGCTGTGCTCTGCAGAGGTTTAATTTTAGCCATCAACACCCGGCTGAGTTATTACCTGGGGTGGACAGAAGAGGAAAGCAAGGCTCCAAGTTTGGCTTTCAACCATGTCTAGGCCCCGGGGGTGGGTGTGAGAGAAAGAAGGGACAGGGAGGGCAGGGGTAAGGAGGGGGCATGAGGGCTGTAACCAGCTTAGCCTGTTCCTGTTGCCCCCAAGGCCATCTGCAGAGCCCCAGACCCCGCCAGGGCACAACCCTGCTCCCCAGAGTGGGGACTGGAGAGCCCTAATTTATGACCCATCTCAGCGAGTTGGAGCAAGCCAGACCTTCCTCTCCAGCTGCCAGGAAGCACCAAGCCAGTTCTGCAGAAAGCCTGGGGGCTGAGCCGGCCAGTATTCTGTGGCTGCCTAAATCACTGTGCCTGACAGGTGGCGGCTGGTGAGGATCTCCAGTCTCTCCTCTTGTTGCTGCCATGGGCCCCTGCCCTGCAGGCACCTGGTGGCCTGTCACCAACCTGTCAGATGGGGACAAGGCTCCGGGGCTAGGCCATCTGGGTCTCTCTGCTCCAATGCCCAGGAATTTGAAGTCAGGCTGTTCGTGGGCCCTGGGCATGTTTTCCACATGCTGTTGGCTTTGGGGAGAGGCCCAAACAGAAGATGGCCTATGACCTGCAGGGGAGCAGCAGGAAGGGCTGTGGGTGGCTGACCCAGCTCCCACTCACAGGTTCCTGTCCCCCAACACCCTTTCCCTCCTTCAAGGCCCAGCTGGTGCTTCTGGCTTGGTGAGGGAACAAACCTAGATGCCTAACCTCCTGCTCCCTTCCTCGCTTCCTCCCAAATCCACCCTGAGTCTCCCTCGCTGGCACTGGCCTGTCATCATCACTCTGGAGAGCAGGGGAGGAGGAAAGGAAGACGCAAAGACACAAATATACACAGAATTTAATTTTAGGGGGATTTCCTCTTGCCCAAGGTTGAGGGAGGTGGTGGGACTCACACCTTGGGCTCTGCGAACAACTCCCAGCCCTCCAGTTGGCCCATCTTGACCAGGGCAGCTGCCATGCCCATGTACACGCAGGCTGTAGCTCCAATCCCATAGCTGTGAGCTGCGAAGGGGAAGAGGGTGGCGTGAGGGACCGTGGGGCTTGCCCATGCCCACCCCAGGCAGGCAACCCTCCCTCGAGGGATTAAGTCACTTAACCCTCTGAATTTGAAGGTGTGTGTGAAAACTGAGGCAGAGAGAGGGGCAGGAATACAGGTTGTCAGGACTGGGGGGAGGGGCAGGGGCACATTCAAGCTGCTGGGTGGATGCCTCATCGGCAAGTCACAGCCTGTGCCCTGGTCACAGGTACTAGGCCCTGTGTCTGCCCCATGGTTTGTGAACCAAGAAGCAGGTTGCTCCTGATGGCCTGAAAACTGCCACCAAGGATAGGGTTCTGCTTGTTCTGTGTGGGGCTCACACCCCTTCACAGGCTTGGGGCGCATGTCAAACCCAGACCTCACCCAAGATCTCAAAGCAAAGGCAGGATAGTGCAGGCTTTCTTCCCCCTATGCAGTGCCCTCCCTCTCTGCCCAGCTGGCACCTTCCACCAACACTCCCAGCCTGCTGGGCCAGGGCAGCTGACCTGAGTGTGGCCTCTGAGGCTGTGGGAAGAACAGTATCTGCTCCATTTCAGGTGGCTTCACCATTCCAGGCTGGCCTGGGCCAGTCCCCTCCCACTAGGGAGGCATGCTCTGCTGGGTCCCAGGTGAACTCAGGCCACCTAAGCGCCCTCTCTGAGCCTTAGTCCCTGCATCTGTAAAGTGTGGACAGTGAATAGCACCCCCACAGGGTTGTGTGTTCAGTCAGCCAGGGCTGTGGGCACTGTGGAGAGAGATGGTAGTGCAAGAACCAGTACCACCTTCTTTGTGCTCATAGGCTGGTGGCGGAAATAGGCAGTGACCTCAAATTCTCTGACAGAGCACAACAGACAAAGGAGGGAAATATGAAGAGAGGGTGGTGGGAGTCCGAGATTGTACACAGACAAGTTGGTGAGAGAGAGAGCTGTGCTGACATCTGGAGGAAGGGCGTTCAAGCCAAGGACAGCTTGTGCAAAGTCCCTGGGGCAGGATGGTGCCTGGCATGTTGGAGGAACGGGGAAGAGGCCCACACGGCTGCAGCAGAGAGAGCAAGGGGGAAAAGGGAGGAGGGGAGGACTTGGTGAGGTGGGTGTACAGTAGGTGCTCAAGCAGCAGCAGCTGTTACTATTATTGAACTGGCTGGTGGCTGAGGTTCAAAAGCACTGGGAGCTTTCATGGTGACTGCCACCTCCTCTGCTGGAGCAGGCATCCTACACACCCAGCCTTGCCTGGCCCCTGGTCAGGGGATGGAACACAGAGAGAGGAGGGGCAGTGGAGGGCAGAATCGGGGAGCTCACTCACTGCGTGCTCCCAGGGTCAGGCCTCCAGCGCAGCCTCCGATGAAGTAGTTCAGGGGGTCATCGGGCTTCTGTCGGACCTGGGCACTAACGCAAGAGGCAATGCCAAATATGGCACCAATGGCGGCTGTGGAGCAGATGGAAAGGGGTGGGCACTGAGTCAGGGGCCCAGAGGGGCATGACGGCCAGGCCAGTGCCAGGAGGGACCCTGAGGAGAAACAAGATGCCCCCCAAGCTTGTTCACCTGCAGTAAATGTGTACCGTCCTGTCCTGGCCACTCCCTCCAGGAAGGAGTCAGGGGGCCTGAGTGCGACGCTGTAGGCAGAGGTGATCAGGCCTGCAGGATAAGAGGGGTAAGGTAGCTCAGAGCTGGGCCTCTGCACTGAGGGGTGGCCCTGGCTGGGAGCAGGCTCCTCTGTCACCTGATAAACTCTCCCCCTCTTGGTCCCCATTGCACCCTCCAAGGTATCTCACCTGGGACGGGAACCTGGATATGCTGCTGCGAAGCCTAGTCTCTCACTCTGCGTCCAGCCCCTAGGCCTCCCTCCTAAGGTCTAACCAAGTCAGCTCCTGTAGAAGGCCTACCTGGGTCCCCATCACTTTCCTGGGCCCACCGCAGGGCACCAGCCCAGCACACAGAGGACAAGAGGACGGGCCCAGGGCCTCAACAGCCAGGCTGCTCCCCAGCCTTGAGTGCAGGCTTGGCTACCACAGCTGCACCCCCATAATCCCTGGCACCCAGGTCCTGCTCCCATCAGGGGTTCTATTCTCCTGTGGGACCCAGGGCTCCATGGCCTAATCCTCCTTGGGAGAAGCTTGGCTCCTGCGGCTGCCAATGCTTACTTGTCACCACCCAGGGCCCCCTCCCCACTGGCAGCTCCGGCCTGGGCCCGTCCCTCATATATGACTGGCCTTGCCCCTGCCATCAGCTTTTCCATCTCTGCTGTTGGCCTGACCACCTTGCCCTTGACACTGGCTTTGATGCATGAGGAATCCGAGTAGAGGCTGGGCCTGAAGCTGAGTGCCAGGTGGGTGGCAAGGACCAAGGTTCTATCCTGGAATATCCTGAGTGAACACTGATCTGGGTTGGTACGTGGGTATGGGGTAGGGCTGGGGCTGGCCCTCGGGCAGCCTCCCCCACCAGACCCTCCTCAGTGAATGGGCAGACAAGGGCCCCCTGGCTGTTTGTCGCCAGAACAGCCCAACACGGGGCTCTCTCCATCCTCCAGCTGACCCTGCTTAGTGCAACAATGCACTCCTCCTCTCCCTACAGACCCCAAGCATTGCCTAGTTACCAGCAGTTACCTCTTGGGGCAAGCCCATTCTATTCCAGACAAAAGAGAATTGTCACTTACTAGGTGACAAGCATTGCCACTGCCCCACTCACTCTCCTCAGGGTCTGAGGAGCTCAATACCCTTATATCTGTTGCTTCATGGGAGGGGAGGGGCCTCAGAGAGACAGAGTGACTTGCCTGAGGTCACTAAGCAGAGCAGTCTGGAAGCCAGGTGGATTTGACCCTAGGGCCATGGTCTACCCCTCAGGCAGCCCAGGGGAGTAGGCTTCACCCAGCCCCCAAGCCTCCAACTTCTCAGGACCCACCCATGGGACCTTCCAGGCTGAGTAGTACCTCCCACCTTAGCCTAGGCTTGGATTCAGTCACTGGAGGCTTTGTGGGGCACTTTTCACTCTGGGCAGTGGGGTTAATCTTCAGAGCAACTGTGAAGAAGGCCAAGACTGCCACCTCACTTGCCAGATGGGTAAAATGAGGCCCCGGGATGAGGGAAAAAGAGCCACGTATAAAGAGGGCTCTAGTCCACCTTCAATACACATAATGTTACATGCCACATTTATCCACTAAAAAAATAAAAAAAATAGAGGGCTCCCATGTGCAAGGCCCTGGTCCACAGGCTCTCCAAATCTTATTTCTCCCCACTTGACCTCAGGAAGGCTGGAGGCTGGCAAGGGGGTAGTGGGGCCAGACTCTGTTCCAGCCCAGCAAGCACTTCCCCCCAGGCACTCTCTTTCACACATGGTTCCCCTCCCTCGTAAAGAGACTTAATCAGTGGGGCCTCCCAGTTCTGCCTGGGATCCGGTGAGTCTTGATCTCAGGAGCTGGGCCAGGAATGAGGATCTTAGGACACCCTGAAGGGGAACCACTGACAAGATTCAGTGATGCCCCCAAACTAGTCATGTGGTGAGTCCCGGGGAGCACCTTATCAACCCCATCCCATATGCCTGTGGTTCTGGCCATGTTGGACACATAAAGTGCCCCAACCATCCTATATGCCCTTAGAAGTCCTTCAACTGGGAGCAAATGACCTGAGAGGCCCCTGATTATCCCAAGGTCAAGACTGCTCTACCCCAACTCTCCCCCAGCAATCATCCAGTATGGTGACCTGACAGAGCCTACCCCTCCAGGAGCTTGCTCAACTCCTCAGATGCTGGGACCCCCAGCACACAAGGATCTTACACCTTTCCACAGCCCCACTACCCCTTCCAAAGGCCCCCTCTCCAATCCCTCAGCCTGTTCCTGGCTTCCTCTCAGTCCCCCATAGTGACCTCCGGACACAGTGCACATTAGTTTATTCATTCATTTAGTTATTGTGTGCCATCTTTCATTCATTCACTCAGTTACTGTGTACCCACATGCATCCATTCATTCAGTTACTCAGGACCCTGGTTCATTTATTCATTCCCTCACAAATAGTTACTGTGTACCCACAACCATTCATTCAAAAATTCATTCACTCACATAGTTACTGTGTACCCGGATTCATTCATTCATTCATTAATCACTCACAGTTACTGTCTTCCTTCCTTCAGAAACAGTTATGGTGTGTCTACAAGGTGTTGGGCTCTGCTGACAGTAGGGCTCCTCCAGGGGCTCACCAGTTAGCTCAGGGAAGCCAAACATGAAACCAGTTCTCTTATGAGGGCTGAGGGGAGGTAGGGAATGAAGGAATGGGTAGGTGAGGGAGGATCCAAGAGCATGTTTAAGCCAAGTTCTGTGTGTTGAATGAGAGCACACACTCCTACTCCCACTCCCAAACACTAGCATTAACGTCCTTCTCAGTTTCAAAATTCCTAAAGCAGCGATTTTCAACTGGTGTGCAGTAGGATTTAAAAAAAAATATATGGCTTTATTGATTTCAGAGAGAGAAAGGGAGATGAAGAGAGAGATAGAAACATCCATGATGAGAGTCATTGATTGGCTGCCTCCTGCACCCCCCACTGGGGATCCAGGCCACAACCCAAGCATGTGCCCTGAACTGGGAATCTAAGAGGGATCTCCTGGATCATAGGTTGATGCTCAACTGCTGAGCCATGCTGGTCGGGCCTGCAAGAATTTTTAAAACATGCAATACCTGACAATTTAGTCAGGGTCACTGATCTCTTTTCCCTTAGATTGCCAAATAAATAAAATGACAACAGCCAACACAACAATAGCCATCTGGTGTCAACAAATAAAAATTACACCTTTTTTTTTGTCAGGTAGGTAAAAAATATATTTTTTGGTATGCTGCAGAATTTTAGTAATTAGTTTGTGTGTGCCACAAGATGAAAAAAGTTGAAAAATCACTGCCCTAAAGCATCTACTCCAAATCTTCTCCCTGAAAGCCCCACAAACCCCTCAGTCGACCCCCTCCAGCTTTAATTTCCCAAGACCCAACCACGACCTTCCAGGCATTTGCCAATGTCAGCATCTCCCCATAAGCACCTACCAGAATAACTTCTCCTACCTTCTCCTACAGTGAGCCAATCCTACCCTGTGCAGCCCTCCCAGGCTTTCTAAGGGCCCCCATAGAGATCCCACCACACACCCTAAACCATCCCAATAACTTGCCATTCAAGCAGACTCTATATAATCCATTTCCTGGGACTCCCTCTTCAACCCTTTCTCTTGACCACCCTCCATAAGGACCCTGTGCACACATTCCTTGCCCCAGCCACCCCCAGGAGATCAGCAGACCTGGATTTACAGCCTGGCTTCAAAAGACCCTGGGGCAGTTAATTCACCTCTTCAACCCTCAGTTTCCTCCTCTGAGAAATGGAGATAACTAAATATGCAGATAATGACAGCAATTATTAGGTCTACCCTAACGCAAATGCCTCCCGGTGTTGACTCAACTTCTGCCATGTCCTGTTTCAGGAGCCAGAGATACGGAGGTGGCCAAAACCACATTTACTTCTCAGGGAGACTGAGAATGAAAGGGGACTGGAAGGGGGAGACTCAGGGGTCTCCCCTGCAGGGGAATGTCAGTGCTGTGGGTCCCCTCACACCCCTAATGCTTTCCTTATAGTAGTCCCTGACTCACTTCACCTACCACCTCTTCAGCATCCCTAGGATCCCTCTGGTGGCCTCAATAAAACTTCAGATGTCACTGACCACACAGCTGTTCTGGATTCTAAAAAGACCTCACTCCAGAACTTTCTCAAATTTTCTGTACCCCACTCAGACATCCCAATAAAAAGCCATAATCCGCCCCACCCCAAATAATCTCAACGTTACCCCGTTGGAAAGTCTCATGACCCTCCAGCTCCTTTGACCCCGATAATGGCCCTGTCCCACTCCGCGACTTCCGAAGAGCCCGGTGATCACTTCGACAACAACCCCCAACCCCAGCACCCAGGGACCGCTTCTGACAATCCCCGTGACCTGCCTGTAACATGTACCATGACCTCCCGGTGCCCTCCAACCCCGCCCCCCAGCCCCCAAAACGTCTCTCTCACTTAAGAGTTCCCTGTGATCGCCCCAGACACCCCGTCGAGGACCACGTACCACCCCGCGACACTCCCAGCCTCCCCGCGCCGTCTGAATTAGTCCGACACCCCACAACGTCCATCTCATACAGGACCTCCCCAGCGCCCCAAGGCATCCCCAGACACCCTGACGACAACCACACGCCACCCCGCGAGATCCCCAGCCCCCAGGCCACCCTCGGATAGCCCCTAGCGGCCCTATGACCTCCCCGCACCCTCCGCCCTCGGGGCCCGGCCGGCCGGTGCTCACCAACAGCACCACTGATACTAGTGCTGGCGTAGGCCTTGCGGTGACACTCGGTGCCGTCGGGGATGTCCCAGTACCTCTGAAGAAGGACCCGCGCCATGGCTATGCACCCTGAGCCCCTCACTGCACAGCCCACAGTCCCCAATGGCCAAGGGCAGCCGCCGCTTGCTATCGCGAGACTTCCTGGGCTGCGCGCGCAGCATCCCAAGCGTGCAACTTTATTGAGAGCTGCGACTATGGACACGGGCTGCGCGCACGCGCCGAGTTCGGAACTGGCTCGAAGGAAGAGCGCGTGCTCCCCGGGCTGATTTCTGGAGGGGGAAACTGAGGCGAACCAGGATCAGTGAAGGCAGATCTCGCTAGTTCTAGTTGAGAAGGCCTAGGTTAGGAAAAGTCTAATTCCCGGAGGTGAGGCCTAATCTAGGGGTTGGACGTAATAGGTACTAGGCATATCGCCACGCACCGTTTAGGGCGCGGGCGGGGCGGGGCATAGGGAAAATAGGGCCACTTCCCGTGGCAGAATCTGCCTGAGGGCGTGGTCACGCGCTGTGGCCCGCCCCCAAGTCCGAGTCTGAACCGCGTGCGACTATTTGGGGGCGTGGCCAGGGTCAAGGGCGGGGCTTGACGGGAAAGGGAACCACCTTAGCGCTAGGATCTTAGAGCGACTTGGCCCGTGCCCAACTTGCGGCTGGTCCAAATCCTGCGTCAGACGAAGTACACGCTTTGCTTGGGGACGTGGCGAGAGCCAGAGACATAACCTGTAGGGAACTTGGCCAATCCGAAGCTGTACGGTTGCCTAAGGGGCGTGGATGTGCCCAATAGTGTGGATCTGGGAGATGCGCAGCCAATTCCGGGGACGGGATCAGACTTGTTGGGTCGCGGAATCCGGACCAATCCTGGTGTTAGCTCCTGAGCACAGTGACCAATTCCGTTGCCAGAGCCCGAATGGGGCGTGCCGTCGGAGGACAAGATCGGGCCCAGGGGCGGAGTTTCAAGGTTCCGGAACCGGTCCGGGTGTTTGGGTTTGAGGAGGGCACCACCCAGTCGGCTGCGGCCTATCGCGCCGAGGTCCTGAGCAGCCCTCTGGGGGCGTGGCCCATCCGGGGGCCCGCACGGGTCCCAGGCTGCCCGGGGGCGTGGCCGGGCTGGACCGCCGCGGGGGCCATGTCCG